GAACCCATCCCTTAGCAAAGGCAGGGGAGGGCACTGGACACTGAGCAGCCCTGGATGTGCCCTGTGCAGGCTGTCCCTTGCCACGATGGGGGTTTGGGGCAGGGGCAGGTGGCTGATGAGGACCCCTATCACAGACTGCATTTGCTCTGTTAATCCTAAAACAGACCTATCATTTTTAATTACATTTAATTATGGACATTTTGTGGAAGTTTTATAACTTTTCTCCCTTAAGTGGGGGAATGAAAAGGAAAACACTTGGCAGGCCATCCTGCTGGCACATGAAGAGGAGATGTAATTTGAAACATCCATAAACCTGGATCCTCTGATGTCCTGCTGCTCGTGCCACCAGGCTCTGGCCATCAGCTCTGGGGGTCTCACCCATCCTTGGGATGGACACTGCATCCCCTGCCCCTCATACCACCTGGGACTGGGAGCAGCTCTGATGGAAACACCGTAGCTCTTGTCCTGACCCCTGGTGTGGGATGTGGTGAGGGAATCTCGGGTGCTCCCACAGCTCCTCAGCAGTGCCAGCACAGCGCAGATCAGATCTCAGGCGTGGGGAACTGGAGCCAACTTTTCCTGCCCAACTTTTAAGACTGCTATCTGGGTGATTACTGATGGCTAAGACACAATGAATAAATACATTCATGTTTCCCAACTGGAGGTTCGTGCAAAGTGCCTAGATGAAAGAAATGTTTCTTTTATAACAGTACCAGGCACGGCAGAGCTGTCAGTTTAGATATGAATCTTCAGCCAAAGTTGGAGTGTTTTTATAATATAACTTTATGATCTTCAATATTTTAGAGTCCCTGGACAAATGGGAGCGGCTGACAGTGGCTGATGCACTGGAACCTGTCCAGTTTGAAGATGGAGAAAAAATTGTTGTGCAGGGAGAGCCTGGTGATGACTTCTTCATTATTACAGAGGTAAGATTGGCAACCTGATAAGCTCTGTCATTTCCTGGTAAAGATCAAGGCTGTGTATAAAAGACATTTGGGTTCAGTTCAATCTCTTACTTCAGCATAAATCTAGCTCCACTTAAACCAAGAGACCTACTCAAAATTCAAATGAATTCAGAGACCAGTTCCATGGAATTGTCTTAAGTGGAACAATCTTCTTTCCAGTGAACTGAAAATGCAGAGTAATTTTGAGGTGTGTCTGTTGTCTTTATTGTTTAAAGGTTTGTTTTCTACAGGAGATTTTTCTAGTTCCAAATTTCCAATATTTCAGCAGGGCTGGTCAGTCACAGAGTGCATTGATTATTGTTCCCAAAGAGACTTCCAGGGGATATCACAAATGGACCTCTGTAAACTGGAGCAGGAGACCTGATCAGAAAACAGATAATTTGTTCTTTGTTTTGCCTTAAATTCAGTCCAAATGGCTGAGCCATCTTCTTGTTTACTCTGACACAGGAAGACAGATCTGTCAGGCAGCTGAAAATGCTGACATCTTTTTGGGAGATTATCTGACACTCCAGTTGCACTGTCTCACCTCTGCAAATGGATGCTGACAGGGTTTTCCACCCCACCCCGACATAAATATTTGGATCCTTGGTATCTCAAACAAGTACCAAGGCACTGTGATATAAAAAGCTATAAAGAGGTAGTAGAGAGACTCAGGCTGAATAACAGGAGAGCATTAGGATATGATTGTCTCTGGATTGTGAGTGTTCCTATGCAAATATATTGAGCAGAAATAGCCAATATATGGCTGTGGAGACAGTTGCAGTGCACACACCAGGCCAGGTGTTGCATGACCAGCAATGAGTTCCAGTGGTGGCACAGGAACAGGGATTGGAGACCCTCACTGTGGGAGAAGGTGGCACACAGGGCTGGAAGGAGCTGGTCACTGTGTGGCCTTGGGATCCAGTTGTATGTACACAGAAAGCATTCCAGGCTTTGCTTTGCTTGCTCTTTATCTGTAAATTTTTGGACAGCTGCCACTATGCAAAGCAGCCAGAATTTGGTTCATAATCAATGTTTGACACTTAAAATTCCATCCTTTTTTCCTCTTGAGTGTTGGAAATATGTATTTTATTTATAAACATAGTTTCTTTTCAATGCTCACAAAATTGTCAGAGCAAGTAACTTCACCTGTCTATCATAACAGGGAGATAATTCAGGAACTTTGAATATGTGACAAGCAGTGTCCCTTCAAAAGAATAGTGTCAGAATAAAAGAGACTAGATATTAGATAGGGAATCTTCTATTAAGAAAATGTTTAGTATACGAGAAATATTTAGGAAATAGAATTTTTTTTCAGAAATATGGAATTTTTATTGTTCCTAGTGTTACTGCACATGCTGTTATTCCTTGCAGAAGCAGGAGACTAGGAAAATCTAATTTTCTTAGCCATTGAATCCCATGTGGAAAATTGGCAGCTTGCTTAAGAGTTACCAAGGGCCTTTATTTTCCCCCTCTTGCTGAAACAGCTGTTAAGACTTGAATGGGTAGAAAAGCATTAACACTGCATTCTGTAAAAAGTATCTGCTCACCTCACCTTTCCACTGCAAATCTGACATAGTTTCTCACTTTGGAAATTTCCTATATTTTTTTACTTTAAAGAATGAACATCCAGTTTCAACTATTTCTTGTGCTGCAGCAGTATTTCTGCCTGCTCACACATAGTTTAAGCTCCATATTTTAAACATGATTTTTATAGGAGTTTACATCTTTGATTTTAAGCTTTTCTGTAGGAAAAATTGCTGCAAGTCACCAGGAACACATTATTCTACGACCTGGTTGAAAGTAGTTTTGGCTGGTTTGTTGTCACAATACATTGAAAAGCCATTAGCTTCTTTCATATGCTTTTTGATGTTTGTGGTCTTCTAATCCAAACCACTAGAAATGCAGCCAAGTTGTTTGGCTGCTCTATGTGCAGAGAACCATTTCATGTATCACTAAAATGCAGCCTCCTTTGGAGCACAGCATGTCCAGTACTACAAAACTAACTTGGCCACATGATTTTTGGACAAGGTACTTATTTACCTTCTTATTTACTCATTTTACATTTGATGCAGCCCCAAAAGCCAAAGTTGTGTCCTGGGCTGCTTCAAAAGCAGCATGGCAGCAATTCAAGGGAGGTGATGCTGCTCCTCTACTCTGCTCAGTGTCCAGATCTGGGGTCCCTTCCCCAGGGGAGATGATCAGAGATGATCAGAGGGATGGAGCCCCTCTCCTGTGAGGAGAGGCAGAGAGAATTTGGATTGCACAGTCTGGAGAAGAGAAGGCTCCAGGGTAACCTAACTGTGGCCTTCCAGCACCTGAAGGGAGCCTGCAGGAAAGATGGAGAGGCTATTTGCAAGAGCCTGGAGTGACAGGGCAGGGGAATGGCTTCAAAAGAGAGAGGGTAGGTTTAGATTAGTTATCAGGAAGAAATTCTTCCCTGTGAGGGTGGTGAGGCCCTGGCACTAGTTGCCCAGAGAAGCTGTGGCTGCCCCATCCCTGGAAGTGTCCAAGGCCAGGTTGGACAGGGCTTGGAGCAGCCTGGAACAGTGGGAGCTGTCCCTGCCCATGGCAGGAGGTGGAATGAGGTGATCTTTAAGGCCACTTCCAACCCAAACCACTCCATGATTTATCATAAACCATGATCATTCATATCATGCTTTAGACAAGACAGTTATCACTTGATAAAGCTTTGGTGCATCCCAGATACTGGTTCCATGTGGAATCTTGTGACTCCTAGTATAAAAGCTTCTCTAAGGCACCCAGGACTCACACATGGATTTAAAATTGTTGAACTTCAGAAATTAGTCATTCATTTCTGGCTAGCCTGCCCTGCTGCCTCGCTCTGTGCCATCCCTTTGGGACATTGTAAGGACATTGGTCCTGCCCAAGGACACAGCCTGTGAGTGGATTGGCACATTCTGGATTTGCAGATTGGAGAGAAACCACTGAAACCTTTTGAAAGGGAAACTGTCAGCCCCAGTGATGATTAGAACAGCAATTCCTGCTTTAAACCAGGAATATCATCCTAGTTAGTATGGATAAGTCTAATTAGTCTCCCCCTTCTATCAAGCAAACACATTCACCTTTTCCCTGTATTTATTACTATAACCTTTTTGTCATGGCTTTCTGTTCCCCTTCCTCCCTCCAGTGTTGCACAGTTTATTTGGGGCGCAGGTTATTTGAGGTGCAGGCTGTATGCATGGAAATGCTCCAGTGTCCCTTGGAAAGTGAGGCTGCAGCAGGAGCTCAGCCAAATTACTAGAATAACAGAAAATATGCACAGGGAAGAATCACAGGAAACCAGATCTTTTAAAGTTCACTGCTCACAAAGCTGTTTATGGTTCATTTTTTGTTAAAAAGTCTAATGAGAAAAGTATACCCTGAGATTCCAGGACAGCTACAGTTTTTCTGCCATCCTAAATCTTCACAGGCACCAGTAAGGTGTTTACTTGCACTAGTTTGGGTTCTTTTCTGTTTAAATACCAAGCAGCCTTCAACAAGATTTAGTTTTAATATTTGAAGGCTGTGGATTTTTTTCCCAGAGATAGAATTATTGTAATATTTATACCATATTCCTTAATGTGAAGATAGGATCAGAAGTGAATGTCTGTTTACAAAAGCAATGACTTCTGTGAGATTGATTTACTGCACTTGAAAAAAGAAGCAGACCTGCAGTTTCTGTATGTTCAGATATTTCCAGGTCTTACTTTCCCACTAAGGTTTTCACACAACAAACTCGGGCTTTCCCAGACCAGACAGATGTGGAATGTATCTGCTGGATTCCAAGGTCATGGAATTATCCCATATGAGATTCCTGGCACAGAGGTGAAAAACTTTAAGCACCATGAAACAATTGTTGCCATAAAGAATTACATTTTGGCAAGTGTAAATCATAACAGATGTACCGTTTCTAACAAATAAATTTGCAGTTGTGTCGTGCACTGCCACACTGTGTACCCAACAGTGGGGAGGATTTATTCATCTGACTTCAGATAACGCAAATATTTTTAGCCAGCATTTTAAAGTGGTGGATGCAAAGGCACATGAGCTTTGTGGAGTTAAAAGTCCCTTTAAATTAAATGCCAGTTGAACAGGGCCTGGTTTTATTCCCAACTTGTGCTTTGCCACTGACTCCAGCTCAAACAGTAGTTCACACCAGCGTAGTAGTGCTCTGAAAGTGGAAAGAAAAGAGGTTTTTGCTGTTGTCTAGGTTACTGAGAAAGGTAGCGACAATAGTATTAAAAATAGCGGTTATGATCATGTACCACTCTCTCAGGTTCAGCTTCCAGCTTGGCTGGGTGGCACAGTACCTCGAAGTCTGTAAGGCAGCTGCCAAAAATGCAGGGATCTGCAGCCTGCTGGGATTTCCAGCTGCCACCCCTCCCCTGTCAGATCACTGGCATCGCTTGTCACGAGCGAGCGCCGTGTCCGGAGCACCGACCCTGTCATGGGACTCACCCACTGCACTCAGGGACTCTCTGAATCTCAGCTGCACACTCAGAGCTTGCTGAGCTGCTGCCATATGGCCCTAATACTCAAAGTTTGACATGGTTGAAGAAAAATGTGTGCACAGACACAAACGTGCGCAGGTGGAGGAAGAGAGAGCAGCAAAAGGTTTCTGACAGGGCCACGCTGAACCTGGAGAGCACAGCTTGTGGCTGCCCTTTAAATGTGCAGCCTGTCATCTGCTCCCAGGACAGGTTGGTTTAAGTGGTGCAGAAAGCATAGAAATAAATCTGCACGAGAAGTAAAACATTTCCAATTAATAGCTGGTCGAGCTGCCCAGCAATCGTATGCAGCAACCTAAAAATAAGAGACCTAAAAATAGAAGATAATTCACAGGAGACAATTCAAGGAGAAATGGACCCATGGTGTCAAGGAGTTTGGGATTAGATTTTTGTTTTTAACTTTATAAACCAATTATTAATTGCAGATTTCTGGTAAGATACAGAGGAACTCCTCTTCAACTCCTTTGTGAAAAGCACTTATAAAAATCTGGAGATTTGGATTCTTCCTTATTGTCCTGCTGCAGGACATCTGATTTTCAGTGTCACCTGTTCAGGCTGTGGGCAGAACATTGCCCTCCCTGTTTCCCCATCAGTGGAACAATCCTAATGACATTTCTTAAAGGTGAGGAAAAGCTTAATGGGAAAAGGCATAAATATCTGTCACTACTGAAACCAGGCAATGAGAATAGCAAAACTGACAAATAAGAGAAAAAAACCCACTGATAGTGCAGAAGACCTTTCAGAATTAACACAGTGAGCTGCCTTATTAAAAGAAATGAGTGAAATTAATTGGTAATTATTATTTTTCCAGCACTATCCTTGGCTGATCACATTGGAAACAGCCCAGTGATCCTTGTCTAGGGGGATTGGGGTGGGGCTGCTCCTTCCGTGCTGCTGTTGACATTTCAAGTCAGGGCCACGAACTGGCTCCGGTCTGGGCAGGATCCACTGTGAGTTCTTGACGAGAGTGTACTTGAGATAGTGTCCTGTAGGTGAAATCAGTGTTTCCAGCCCTGCTGACACTCCTGGCACACTCTGGAGCGTCCCTGCACAGAGGCAGTTCAAAGCCTGTAGGTGGAACAGTGTTTGTAAACTCTTCCTGCCATGGTAACCTGCCCCTGCCTCCGAAGGGCACCTGGTCCTACACAAAATTGGGCCTTTCTGTAGGAAATCTCGACTTGAGTCGTAAATTACACAATGAGCATCCGAAGATTTATGATTTAAAAGCTCCTTAAGAAGGAAAAGAAAAAAAAAAGAAAAATAATAGCTCAATTGTTTCCTGCCCTAAATCCTTGCTCTTTGACATTCTAACCTAAGAGAGACCCCTTTGGCACCTACCCCTGCGACAGGCAGGAGAACTACAAAGTAAACTCCTTCTTTAGGGATAATGAAGTCACTGCCTTAGGCACACTCTGCTATCACACCTGATAATCTCTTTAAAACACAGTGCGATTAATTATTAATTAGGAAGATGAATGTTGTCTAGAAAAGGAGTTTCAAAGGCTACAAATCTGAACTGCTTAGTGTTACCAGGATTTTGTTGATACCGAAAATGTTTGTCAAAGGCAGTCTGCAGCGACTCCTAATGTACCCAATAAACAAAATATCCTGAATAAACAGAGCCAGCAGGCACCAGGGCTCTGCACTCTGCTTATTTTTAACTGCACAGACATTGTTTCCCACAGAGCTCTTACAGGAAGGGGACGTTCGATTTTCTTGGTATCACCCAGTTGTGCTGGAGCAGCAGCACTTCCATTGGCCCTGCTACAGAGCTCCTCTCTGTTCAGGATCCATTTTTAACAGCCAGCTGATGTCAAAGATGGAAAGTTGTGTGTGTGACTGGTTCCCATCCTGAGGAGGGATGGAGGTGAAGTATTTTGCTGAGTCAAAGAGACTAAAATGTCAGCTCAGTCCAGGTCTTGTTAAACTCAGTTTTACTTCCATGGGCAGTGGGTTAGGCTGCATATCCATGGGATAATGTTTCATAGGAAGCAAATGGCTGCTCCCTTTCTTCTTCCCACCAGCCATGGAGGACCTGTCAGTGACTGCAGCTTTTGGCCTTTCCTTCCAACTCTTTCTCCAGCCCCACCAACTGCTGCAGTGCAGTCACCTCTGGTGAATTCTGTAAAACCTGACACCTCAGGAGTGATGTACGAGGGAGCATTTTCCTAACAATTTTGTGAAACTTCAGATTAACCACTATTTCTAGTCTATTTTAGGGCTTTGCAGATTTCATTCCTCATTTGTGGCAGAAACCAGGACAACTGTATGTAAATTCCATGAGTTGCTATGAACCCAGAGAATGAAGAATAATATATAATAGTTTGAAAATGTACAGTTAAAGAAATACTGTCAAACCCATTCGTGACTCAATCTTGAGTCCACAACCAGAATTAAGTCCTCTTGTATCATCTTTCTGCAAGACCATTAATGTCAGATAGCTTTTATATTAGGAAAATGAGTCTTTTTGAAAAAGAGGTCTGATGGAAAGGAACACAGTGTAAAAGCAGTGTTCACAGCCAATAGTTTATAACAGAAAAGAGTTTTCACCTGGATTTGGCCCCTCCATATAGTATGAGATAAATAATTTTATAATTAAATGATTGTCAGATTTATAGTACCTGTGGTCTGTAATACATGTAACCTTTTAACCAGCTCATTCCTTCTTACCTACATGGACATCTCATGGAGGTCACAGGGCCTTTATCCTCACTACCCCTTCTGATGAGGTGTGTGAAGCAACCTTCATGTTGCATGGTGTGATCTGAAGCACAGGGCATAAGAACTGGGATAGTTCTTCATTCCTGGAAAAACAATTGATGGGAATTAGATACCTTGAAGGTCTTCATGATTTTGCTTATAGAAGTCTAAGGCAGAGCAAAAATGGGAGCCTGTGGCCAGCACTCCATCATTAATGGAACACCCTTGTTCCTTTAGGTTAAATGTTACCACCCAAAAATGATGGGTTTTATTTTATACTGCAGGTGATGAGGAAGTCACTTGTACTTTGTATTGGGAGAAATATGTTGATTTTGTCCCTTGTTTTTGTAGAAAGGTCTCTTTCATAAATCAAAGGCTGGCAAAAAGTAAAAATCCAAGATTATTTACTGGCTAAAGGAATATTTGCAGTGTCTTTGGCTACATAGTTCAAAGGATTTGTCTTCTTTTGGAAAGTAGCCCTAGAACTGCTGATCCTTAGCTCTAACATAAAAGCTGTCCCAGGAATGATGCTATCAGCAGTCCCTGAGGGCTGAAATGGCAGCTGAGGAGTGATGTGCTGGTGGTCTTCCAGGACACTGGGGATGAGGACATTGCTTATGTCAGCACCACCATGTACACACAGGACCTACTGTGTTACTCTGTCTTTGGGATATTGATAAACCCAGCTCTTGGAGCACAATTCCCAGGAGGATGCAGTGCAGCCACACTGCTCCCAAAGGCTTAAAAGTAGTTTTCCCAGCCTCTTTTTGCACATGTGATACCCAGCATAAAAAAAAAATGCATGAATATTTCCCCGGTTCACTTTTGACATGACAACTTGTGTAGGAGTCTCCAGTCTCATTCAGCTGTAATTTAAAACATCTGATTTGTAAACCCATAAAATTGAAGTTTATGCTGGAATGACAGACACACCCTGGCCCTGTACCACAATGGGATATGTGGAAATCAGGGAAATCAGTGAAATCATTTGGTGTGCAGAGAAGCAAACCCCAAAGTTAGTAATTGGCAGTTTCATTCTTAATATATGCATGTCCCATTTGAATTTTCACAAAAATCAGAGTGCAAGATTTTCTCTGTGTTCAAAGCAGCCTGTGACTTCTTCCTGAGCTGATACCAACTTTGGGGTATGGTTGGTGCTCTTTAACACTTTACTGGTCCTGTCAGTAGTGTCTTCCTACCAGGGCAGTCTGCAAAACCTTGGAGGTTCACAGGGAATGAAAAGCCTCTCCATGGGAGTAAGGAGAGCAGCACAGGCTGTTTACCCCTCCAGGTTTTCAGGATCCCCATAAGCTCCTTTGGCACTGGAGCCTGAGCTCACAAGCCCTGATTCAAAGCACTTAGTCAAGGTGAACAAGAACTTTGTGGCCCCAGGCATGTTAAATCTGAACTGACATTAAAGGCATCTGCTATGTCAGGAGCTGGGAGCTCTGTCTTGAGGAGAGCCTCTCTGTCTTCAAGCAAAAACACTGCAGTGTAAACAAGAACTGAAACATGGTGGTGCTCAACCTAGAGGAAAAGAAATGGAGAACTTCCCAATCCCTGCTGGAGTTCATCCCTTTCTCTGGATAATGTTAAAGCTGCCCCTTACTGGAACAGCTTTTGCCCCTCCTCTGCAAAGATATCATTGAGTTGACTGCAGATTTGCTGCAAGAATATAGCCCTTAGGGCTCCTTCATTAGCTGTGCAGTGTGGATTTTCTGGAGCATGCAAGACCCTTCCCAGTGTGCTCCAGGATGAGGCAAATTTGAGTTTGTGAGGTTTTTTCTTTAGAATGTAATGTTTTGGTCCTTTGAACAGACTAGATTCACCAACAGGAAGGAGTCAAAGAGAACTTTCTATGGGGGATTTTCCTGATCTCTGTGATGAACTCTTTTCTTTCCTTCCCCCATTTTACTCCAAGTTTTATTTCTCTCTCAGAAGCTGCTGCCTTTGCTGGCCACAGCTGCTCTCCCAGCCCTGGTCACAGCATTAGTTATGAGACTTTAATGACAATGTCTGCCTCAGCCTTTTGCTTGGTCTGGTTACTTCAGCATCTACAGAATGTTTTCACAAAGAAGCAGATGGCGGTAGGAGTAATTGGGCCGTAAAACAGCATTAACAGCTAAAAACGATTTTCACCAGAAAGGATTTTGCGGGCAGGGTGAGGGAGGTTCAGCACTGTTTTCGTGTTTTCTCTCCCATACATTCACCCCTGCCCTGGCTGTAGGTGGTAGCTCTCTGCTTCCAGGAGATGAGCCCTGTCAGGTCAGTCACAAATATAACAGTTGATGAATAACCCATTATAAAGTCACTTTTATGTTGACTCAGTGGACGTTTCCTGGCTTCAGAGAGAGTCAAGATAATGGCTAGCTTTGTAGAAAGAAAGAATCTCTAAAATGCAACATTTTTTTCCCTTTGTGACTTTTATTGCTTTGTGCACTGACATGTCTGAGGGGGGAAAACAGGGCCTTGTTGCCAATAATCCACAGCACTTGGCACGGAAGGTCTTTAAAATCTGGCATCGGGATGAATATTAATTCAGTTGTTTTCCCACAGAAGCTACTGATTAGTCAAGGCTAAGTATCCCTGAGATGATTCATTAAAACCAACATCTGAGCCCACCTTTACTGACTGGCTCTGCTTCTTGTCACCCCTGCAACCGGTGACTGAATGTGTAATGGAAGGGGTGACCAAAATCCCAGAATGGAGCAAAGATAGAAGTGCAGAGGAACCCCAAAGGCTGTGGTGCAATGGCTTCCCAGCCTTCTGGGCATGGAGCCAGGACAACTAGCCAAGGAGGATCACACCCCAGGCAAGGGGTTCCTCCCATGGCTCAGAGCTGGTATCTGATTCCTCTATCACCATCCCCTCGCTCTCAGGCTTCCCTGTTGGCAACTGGGACTATCCCTAACCCTAACCCTGGTGGTTTGAAGAAGTGTGGCATTGGGGCTGTGGTGTCCCTCTGTCTGATGATGGGAATGATGATGATGGTGATGATGATGATGATGGTGATGATGATGGAGTCATGAGTCCCCCACCATGTAGGTATGCCTCTACTGGACATCTGTGTGGTCTAGCCTGATGGTAGCTCTGCTGCTGTGGCTCAAAGGCAACAATTCAAAGTCAATATATACTATAAAATTTAAAGTTTTGTTCCTGTAAAGTCTCTCAACTGGAAAGGCTTAACAAAACAAGAAATTCAATCTTTTTCTTCTTTGTGCGAAACCCACTTTACTTCACCTGAGTACTGCAATGGTCTCCATGCCCAAAGGAAATTGCAGTTGATACAATTCCTTTTGGTTTTCACTGTGTTTACTGGTCTCTCTCTGTCTGAATGTTGACTTCCATTTAATAACAGCATTTCTTTCTCTTCAAGAGGAATACATAGGTATAGCACAGGTTTAATGCAGGCTGTATCAAAGAAACACTGAAGGGAAAGATTGTCTGAGGTACTGAGATAGGAGGATGAACAAAACGACTGAAAAGGTCTTCCTGTGTCAGACATCTATGATTTTAAATACTGAACGATCAAGACAAAGGCATTTCCTGGTGATTAATGATGGGCTGGGTGTAGTCATGTCTGGGCCTTAACCCTGGCCTCCTGTATATCCCTAGGAAATGCCCTGTGGCTTAGTTCTTTCTGCTGTTTTAAGCTACACTTGCCTTATGATTGATTGTCGTCTTTAAAAGTACCTTAATGTTTGTGGCTATTTTGGTGACTGCTCTAGACAGCTTTGTTCCTCTCTCCTGGGTCTGGGTGTTATTCTTAAACCCACAGTCCTAAACTAATATAAACATGTCTGAATAGCAGAGAACCGTGAGTTTGGGCATGTGTAGGGCAGTTTGATGCAGGTGTGATATAAAACACACAGCAACCTGCAGGTTGTTTGATATCAGTCGTGGTTGTAGAGATGATGTCCAGGAGCTCTTCCAGCTGGGCAGGGACTGGTGATTTCCATCTCTGCTAGAATTTGATGTGCTGTTGAGAATGATGGCAAATGAGATGAATTGACAACCTAGTGATGATCACTGACAGTGTAAAGGTGCTTTTGGCAGCACTGCTCTCTCAAGGAGGCTGGGTGGGGATCAGGGAGCAGAGCTTGTTTAACATTGCCTTTAGAGCTCCTTTGAACTTGCATTATTAATCCTAACCCCATTCCCAACATGCTGGCTTCCTAAAAATCCCAGGAAATCAGTGCAACTCCAAATGTACAGAGTCACAACCAAATTTAAAAAGCTGGATGTGTAAAATGTTGCATATTCATTCTCAAAAGCTCTCAGCAGCTCATTACCTTGGCATTGCCTTGTGCAGTATTTATAGTGAATTCTAATGAATGCAGAAAAGAACTGACTTGCTTGAGATAAGCAAAGCAAACAGCCACCACTTTTCCAGTCACTGCAAACCTGGGGCTGCTCTGGCAGCCTGTTCCCACCATCACAACTGGCTCATCAGGAGGGATAGCTGAGAGGGATGAGTTTTCCAAACTGCACCAAATTTGCTTGAGGTTTCACATCAGACAACTGAATTTCAACTTTTTGAAGTGGGGGTTGAAGCACTGGCTGACAGGTCTCCCAGATTCACCAGGCAATCACTATTTCATAGAATCACAGAATGGGTTTGCTTGGAAGGGACCCCATATATCAACTAGTTCCAACTCCCAGGAGTTTCCAGGAAGTATGTAGCATTTTGAGCTTCTGGCTCTCCTTAAATTAAGTTAATGATTTGGAGATGCTCTAGGAAGCAGATATGATTAAATAAGATGCAACTTAATATAGCTGTAGCTGTTACAGTGTAAGAACATGGCCCAAACACTGTTTGTAGGCAGATGAATGATGGATTTTATTAGATATACCTGGGGAAATGGGCAACCTGAAGACAGACATGAGCCCAAGAGCTCTCCTCCCTTTTTCTAGCTCTGCTTGTTGATCTAATAAAATACATTACTTCCACAAACCTCATCTTGCCTACAATTAAATGAAATCCTCCCAGAATCATACTGTGTGACAGATCTTTTAATTCATTTCAGACCTGCTGCAGCTCCATCCAGTCCCTCTGCTTCGCCGTGGGAGCAGCAGCATTTTGTGCCACAGCAAAGCCCCTTCCTTCTCCTTTTGTAGTAACTGCAAAGATTTAATAGCAACACATTAATGAGGGTTTGTGTGGCTGTGGATCGAGGGGAGACTTATCTTTTGAACGTGTGAATTGTGGAGTGTGTGGGTTAACAAAGTGAGAAAGAGCAAAGGTATGTTCAGAGCTGCCATCGATGGAGTTAATGGCAATCACAGATGATCAGCCTGACCTTTCCATCTCTAATTCCATACACTGCACTGCCCTTTGGGCTGGGTGGTGAAGAGGAAAATAAAATAGGCTAGAAAAGCTTTCTAAGCTCAAAACTAGGATAAAAATGCCGCATTTTTAGGCCATGGGGAAAAAATGTCACCTGTGCTTTTTTAGAAAAAGCAGTCAGTAAAAAAAGTATGAAATAAAACTAGAAAATCACGTAGTAACTTCCTGACTGTGAAAATTGAAGTTATTTTCTTATCATTTTAATAATGTCTTCTTTTTAATAATTATCCTTTATCCCAGATGGAACTTCACTATATTTTTTATTGATGGCTATATCTTTAAAATGTGTGGTTAGACCAACAAGACCAGACAATCAGTACGACTGACTTTTAAACCAAAAAGTTTTTAAAACAGTGCAGGGTTTCCCATCCCACCCCCTGCCCCTGGTGAAGCCCATCCTGCATTGCCTGCCCCACCCAGGGGTAACACAACTTACCAGATTTTGCCTTGTGCTGCCTGGGAGTGATCCCACCTGATCCACTGAGCTGGAATAGAGGGAAAAAATACAGGATTTCAGTTTTTAGCACCATGAATCATACTTGTCTTTTGTAGCCAGGCTCTTTAGACCAACTGCTGGCTATAGGATTCATACTTAAATATAAAAACAGGGCTCCTGATGCAATTAATGCTTGGAAGTACCTGCAGGATAAGGCCTGGGAATTCCAGTGTTGATCCAGATGGGCACACTCTAGAATGTCTTCCTCATCTATCTGTAGGGTCTGAGAGTTTAAAAGTGAAACATCTATCAAAATCTCATTACTTTGGAGAGGATGGGAGCTCATGCATTATAAACCTTAATTTATTTTTTATATCATAAATCACGGTGCCATATCTAAGGCATAAATTTTTGCAAAACAAACTGCTGAAGCATTTGGAAGGAGTTGAATAAACACTCCCAGCAGTGCTCCGGAGCAGTGCCAGAAGGAGCAGGCAGGTGTGTGGGGTGAGGATGGCAGAGAGATGCTGGTGGCACAGTGCTTTGGGAACTCCTACTCTTGTTGTTTTTGCAATAGGATGCTCGTATTTACTCAGAGGAGAGGAGAGAAGGTTAATGCTATCAGTTTCTGGGAATACAGGCACTCCCCAGTGACTGAAAGAGAATATTCCTGGATCCCCCAAAGACCATAATTTCACTCCCAAGTGTCTGCTAGCAGAAAGACATGCCTGTCTGCCTTCAGTTTAATATCATCACAAAGGGCTGATTTATTAAACGGTGTCAAACCTTCTCGGCAGCCTTCGAGCTCGTGCTCTGTAGGGTTTGCTTGGTGGTGTAGGAGGCTGAAATGGGTATCAGTGTACAAGGCAGTATTTTAAGTTGAGCAGCACTAAGCTGCCTGATCCTGCAAATCTAGGATCATGTAGCTTGTTTAGAGATTCATCGTGCCAAGTTTTGTGTGTCATTTAAGGAGAAGTCTTCCCCATAGAGAGAAAATGCATTTGAGAGTGAGAGTGATGAGCCCCTGAACCCTTGTTAGATAATGCCCTTACCTCCTGGGACAGGGCCCAGAGGATTTATTCAGTCCTATCATTTGTGGGAGGTGAGACATCCTAAAGCACAAGAAGGACAGAAAAATCAAAAACTTTATCAGAAGGATGTGACAAGTAAAATAAAATTAAAAGCAGCCACAAAACTTGGGATGAGAACAAGGGTAGGGGTCAAAACTGAACTCATGACAACTTTATCATTATATGGGTAATGAAGGACTGCTTCTGTATTATTTTATTCTGTATTATTTTGTTCTTTAGTATTTTATTTCTGTATTATTTCTTCCCCATTTACACTGTTTGTCTACAATTGGACTCCTCAACTACAGTCAGAATAGTGCTGATTCCAGAGATAAGACACACAAAGTGAAGGTGATAGAGGCAGGCAATTATAAAAACATGTTCTTTGTTTCCTGGGGTGGACAGCCTTCCCATGAAGGTCACTCTGACAATGTTCCAGGATGTACTTGTGGAGCTGGTGGCTGGTGCAACGAGGGGCCAAGCAGTGTAATCAGAGCTGACATCTGGGTGCTCGCTGTCAGAGCTTCAGGAAACTTGTTTTGCTCTGAGATAGACCTGCTCTCACTGGGCAATGGGAAAAGCCTCTGTGACTGTTAAAACAAGAGTGGAAAAAATATGGATCTGGAATATGCATTGCTTTATCCTGCCAAGCCAAGTGTTTATTGTGGAGGCCAGACACATCTGTCCTTCTCCAGCAGATATGGTGTTTCTTGGATTAAAAAGGCTGACTGTAGTGGAACAGTGGAAGAAATTGCTTCAGAAGGCTGACTTATTGGAGTCCTATATCACATGGACCCTGTCAGAAAAATATTAGCCACAATAAAAGCTGACACTTGGGAAGATGAAAGCAATATTGCTTGATATTGTGATTACCTTTATAGCAATGTGCTGAAGGTGAGCAGTGGGGAATTGAGTCCTTTCTTCATTTGACCTGGGTGGTCACTATGATTACTTCAGGGAATTTTTTTTGTTTTATGTAATAAAACATCTGTAATAAAAGATTTTTTTAAAAATTCCTTTTGGAGACATGGATTGCAGGCAGCTATTTGGGTCAAAGGGTTCCGTTTTTGCCAGGCTCCAGATGGAGATGAGAGGAGGACAGGGGCAAGAAGTGACTCTGAATCCATCTTCACTGTACAGGCAACGACAACAGCATCAATTTACTGAGCTGCACCTGATCCAAAGTTTGGCAAGAGGGAGATGGATGCAGGCATTATCCCCTGTGTGGGGTATTTCTGAGAGTGCTGCTTGTGAATGTGGGTCTGTTCTGAAAGCTGCAGCAAGTGTGAATAACAATGCTCATCACACTATCTCTGCATTTTCATGCCCTTGCAGATTTACTGGAAGATCTTGGAAAACTGCAGTGTTGGTGGAACAATTTAGTTATATCAAGGAAAAGGATTTTTTTTCCTGAAAACTTGACAGAAGAAATAAGATTTACCTCCTGGAGGTGCACAAGTTTCTTTTGGTTGAAGGAGGCTGCAGGATATTTGCAGCTATTGAATGTTCACTGAATACTCTGCTCTGGATGGAGGTTTTTCAGTTAAAATCAAAATATGTTAACATTTGGCCTTTCCCTATGCTTTTGGTTTGGACTCAGAAGATATTCTTATATGTTACTATAATTTTTTTTCCAGAAAAGCAGATACCTTCTCTGTTCCTCTACAAAAGCTTTATGCCACAATAATTTAAGATTTCCTCCAGGTCAGAATATTTCTGCATGTAAAACTCTTTGAAGGTTTAAATAGATTGTAACTGAGTTTTAACATGTATTAGCACGTGTCAGGTACAGCAGTTATTAAGGGTAGTGGAGACAAGGCACATTCCATCTCTCCAGAGACTGACTTGCAGGTGTCCAGACCACTACAGACCATGAGCAGGCAAAGCCAGTAAAAAAACCACCACCCTTTGTTACAACAAGCATTAAAAACTTCTTTTGCCGTCCATTTCAGCAATAGGTCAGCTGAGGAATAAGCTCTAGTTGCTCTTACAAAATCATGTCCCAGGATTATTACTGGGAAAATTACCTTTTTATTCCTTTTAATGTAAATCTTTTCTGTATCTCTCTCTCTCTCAGGTTGTGCATCCACACAGAACATATTTTAAAATTATATTAAACCATACATTTACATTAAAGCATGATGTGCATTAGTTAAATACGAATTTCTGGGTTCTGTCCTGTTCCTGTTCTCTTTATGAGCTGAATACATCTGCATCCACACAATTCATAACAGAGAAATAGTTTGTTGTTTTTTTTTTCAAATCCTTTAATTCCTTTCATTCATATATCAATACATCATATATATGTGATATACAAAAGGAAATACTCAGGTTTGAACAAAGCCAGCTGACTCCCTGCCCTTCTCTTCCCAGGGCACAGCCTCCGTCCTGCAGCGCAGGTCTGACAACGAGGAGTACATTGAAGTTGGAAGACTTGGTCCATCAGATTATTTTGGTAAGAAAATTCAGCTAAGCGTGGTTCAGAAAGACAGGCACGTCTGGGTCAAGCACTTATTGTCTTAATTAGTGTTCCACTCTTACATGCGAGGGGTTACGTGCAGGTCAGCCGCTGCTCTCAGCGATGCTCAGAGATTTCAGGGAAGCCAAATCCACTCCTTGGTTTACACCAGTGTAGCTGACAGGAGACAGATCCAGAATCAGCAAAACAGTCTGAAAGCATTTGTTTTCAAAGGCATTTTACACACATGCATTATGCATGTGTAATGCATTTGTACTGTCAACAGAATTATGTAAAGTGTCTATCAAGAGATATATAAAGGGAGATGTTCTACAAGCAGAGCAATGGGATGGTGGAATATGCACCCTGTGAAAGAGAGGAGGGTGTGTGGCAGTGTGTTGTCTCTGTTTCCAGGTGAGATAGCCTTGCTGCTCAACCGGCCCCGGGCAGCCACGGTGGTGGCACGTGGACCCCTCAAGTGTGTGAAGCTGGACCGGCCCCGCTTCGAACGAGTGCTCGGCCCTTGCTCCGAGATCCTCAAGAGAAACATTCAGAGATACAACAGCTTCATTTCACTCACTGTCTAAATGATTCCTCTGGAAAGCTGCCTTCATGTGACCTTGTGCACTTAAAATTTGCTCTGTGCAGCTCCATAGCTTTATGAAGAAAAAAAAAGAAGTATGCATTTTATGTGTATTTTTTTCTGTTTATGTCACCTAGTGGATGTCAGCTCAAATCTCACATATAATGGAAGTGGAAGGATAACTGTTTGGGTAAGACTAGCTTTAGGGAAGATTGGGCTCTTTTGGGCTCTTGGCTTGCAGACAAGATTTTTACCTATTGTTGGTTCATATTGCTTGAAACTGTGGGTTCAACTATTTAAAATATGTATGAATTTCTGGTTTTTTATTATCTTTAAAGCTGGTCTTATTCACCTTTTGTCAAGGTTCTTAGATCAAGTGATGTGAAAGGTGTCTCTGCCCATGGCAGGGGGTTGGATGGCCTTTCAGGTCCCTTCCAACCCAAACCAGTCAGTGATTCTGTGATATCTCTCTGCCTGTCACTTCTAAAAGACTTTTCACTGGTTACGGACTGGGGGGTTCCGAAATCCCATGAAATGAGTGGCAGTCTCATTGATGAGAAGCAGTTTCAGGGGGAAGGTTGGAGGAAGGTTTTGATCATTCCAGCAAGCCAGGGGAAAGTAAAGCTTTTGAGTGATTTTGTTTGTGGCTTAGATATAGGGGCCATATTCCTCCATGTCACAAACCCTTTTGGGTCTGCTTTGTAGGATATGCTCAGGCAAACAGCCTGCACCAGTCTTCTGGGTGAAGAGGTCAAGGGACAATGTTTTGTAAGAATTCAAATGGAGCCTTTAGGACCTAAGTTAGGTATCCTCAGCTTTTTTTAAATGAGGATTTACATTAGAGTCCTTAGAAGTCAAATGGGGGCTTCTCTGCTGAATTAAGTTGGCTTCGAAACTCAGCAGAATGTCCTCAGCCACTTCTCTGAACATTATATGAAATACTGAAGAGATGGTGCCAGGTGCACTTCAGGGACAAATACAGCAGCTTGTTTTTAATAAGGTCTACTTAATTAAATTCAACTGCCTTTCTACTAGTATATGACTAAATTTTAGAATTTTTTAAAATTTTCTGAAAGCCAAATAAGTGCTTCAAAATGCTGCTTCTCCTCCAAAATACAGGTATTATGTAACAAAGAGCACCAGGATCCTGGAGCCCAGGTCCCTCCAGGGGCCTCACAGCCTTGCTGGCAGTCACTGCTGCCCTGCCCTGACATGGGGCTCCTCCTGAATGGAGCTTTTTTCAGATCTCTCAGGGTTAGGGATCTGTACAGCCCTCAAGGATGGGATCATTTGGATTATGATTTGCAAAGCTTTACCTTGCAGGTAACCTAGCTGTTACACATGCATCAAAGCTCTGCATCTCAGCCACCCTTAACAGCACTGCCTGCCCTTCAGTTGGGCCAAAACTCCATTTCTTCTTTACAATAACATTCTTCTGAGTAAATACAAACTTTCTGTACCTTTGACATGCCAAAGGTTAAGCAGTGAAATATGGTACCAATCTCCCTTTTGAAACTAGAGGTGTAGCTGGCTAAATGGCTAAAATGACTCCTACTGACACACAATTGCTTTCTTTTTTGGAATTAACAAATACTAATTGGACACTTTCCTGTTGACTCCCACCAAGGGCCCAGTATTCCAGTAGCTGCCCACAGTGGTTCTCACAGAGCTAAAAAGCTTCTCAGCTTCACGCTCTTCTCATCACTTAAAGGTGCTTAATTTATTTTAGCATAATTTCAGTGGTCCTGTTAGTGTATATTTGTTGCTGCTATTTATTATGATTATGTTATGCTTCTTGCATGTGTTATTAAATATGACCATTCAGTTTCCAACCTTGCAATTTATATCATGTGCATTAATGTAGGCAGACCCCCATTCTATATAGATAAGTCAATGTATATGCATTTGATTATTTGCTGCACTGTTTTTGTATTCTCTTGTGCAATTTTAAAAAGAAATATTTTTTAAATGTTACCAGTCACTCAAGTATGTTCTTTTACCTGTTGCATTTCTGTTGTGTTGGTAAAAAAAATTGTGAGCGTTTCGCGTAATATGCAGGACACATCTCTTGTCAAATAGCAAGCATTAGCCTCACTGTTTAGAAGTTACTCGAGCACACAGACACACTGCAGATTCTTTGCTTTAAACCTTTACAGCTCATGGAAAATACGTCTGAATTATGGTTCTGTTATAAGCAATCTCAAGAGAAATGTAACTGTCTAACACCAGGATTCCTGTGCTTTAAGTGGAACAAAATGATATTCAGTGACATTTTGAAGATAATTGTAATATTTGCAGTGGATGATGGGACAGGATTATGGTATGAATAAAATTCTTCTACGTTATAAGTGGCCATTGTGGGTTTATTGCTAATGGAAGTCTGTGTGAGTAGATGTCATGTTCCAGTTAAAATCTGCATATCATCAAAACTTTGAGCTCTACTGAAAATAATCAGATGCAAAGGGACAAAAAATAGACCACGATTCCCAGTGCTATATATAGTAATGGAAACCAAACTGGTTTTGTGGAGGATTAGCACGAAGGAAAAAAAATCATCTGTTTAAATGTAACCATATATGTCTGTATAAAGAAATAGGGGTTCAAGGTGTGTCTGGGATCTTCCTGCTGTTGTCCAGGTGCCAGCTGTGAAACCCTCAGGATGATGCTGAGCCTGTTGTCCAGCCAGGGGGTACACCTGGGGAAAAACAGGCTCTTTCCTTCTCAAATGCCAGTGCTGCTCCTTTTTCCACAATATCACAAAGCCCATGGTCCCAGCCACACCAGGGATCTGTCCCAGTTGTTCAAGTTTTGGCCACACATGGATTTTTAGAAGTGTGGCTGCTCTGGGACTGAAGCACAGACCCACTTTTGGCACCAGGGATGCACTGCGCTGCTGCCATGGCTTGTGTTCATGCCATGGACTGGCCAGGAACTACACTGAGGACAAATTTCTCAGAGAAGGCAGAGCCTCCAAAGGAACCACCTGTACGTCAAGTATGCAGGTTTGAGCATGGGTTGAAAAACTGGTAAGAGTTGCTTCTGAGTGATGAGGTGCCCTGTGTGCTGTTAGTGCCACCCCACCTAACAGAGGTCTGGGTGGGCACTGCAGTAGATGTGTTATGGTCCAAGCTTGGCTCCAGAGCTGGATCTGTCACCCCAGAGCAGAGGGCAGGGCCAGTGGCTCACTCCTTGCAGCTTCTCTGTGGTGGCCCCCGCACAGAAATCTTGGGCGGCTCCCGACATCCAAGGGCTGTCCAGCTTTCCGTTTTTGGAGTGTGTTATTTTTCCCCCCTTCGCTATGATTCAGGAGGGAAGGACTGGTCTTTCCAGAGAATTACTCACATTATGCAGTAATCAAAAGTGACCACTCTCTCTGAGGTCCTTCCAGAAGGACATTACCAGCCCACGCTCCCCAGAAAAGAGCATCTCACCACTCCTCATTGCATTCCTTTTTCGGTTGGTTTTAGTTGTGTCGTGGCCATTTCAGGACTCCTGAGACAAAAGAAAAAGCTTTTTTTTTTAATAGAAACTAATTGCACCTCTGGATTTTACAAGGCCATGTGGCTGACCAGGTTTTGGTGTGTGTATCACATTACTCTGGCTGGCTCAGGCATTCCCACTGCTTTGTGGCACTAAAGCACTGCTAAAATGGTGTGGAAGTCGTTGAGTCACATGAACACTGTGAATCCTTCCTTGATCATCAAGCAAACACGGTCTGACACCCTGTTACCTGTTCAGGTGCTGGTGGGCAACAAGAGCTGTTGGAGAACCAAGTAAACCCAGCTGGGTTATTGGCTGCTGGGCTGTTTCTCTTGCAGTCAGTGGTCTTTGGAAGTAGAGTTGTCACCCAAAGGGTGACGTTTCTCCTGCTGTGAAAGTTACACAACGTGTGTACATCTCATTCAGTTTTAAGTCTTAAATGGTGCATAAATCCTTTCATTGTCCTATTTATGGGAGAATTGTTTGTTCTTTGTGCCCACTTAGGTAGAGCAAAGAGGATATTATCCCATGCAGCAGCAGCACCATGATGACCTCCTCAAGGTGACTGAGAACCAACCAGCTTAAAGTCTCACAGTTGATATTCCAAAGACCAGTTCACTATGTAGAGACTAAATTATCCCCTCTTACATTGCCAGGCATGTTTTTTTAACTTCTTTCCAATGATTTGGCAACTCTGACTGGAGCTTCAAGTGCACACAACTGCTCAGAAACTCATAAGAGCATTTCCAGCCAGTCACTTCTGTAGGTCCCTCTTCCCTCTGGAGAAAGAGAGCATATTTGGATATGAGCATATGTGTAGCCTTGAAAATCTAATGTTACGGGAAT